TTTTTTTTTTTTTTTTTTTTTTTTTTTTTTTTTTTTTTTTTTTTTTTTTTAATGGTCCAATTAAGAAAAGAAAAAAAGAAAAAAGAAAAAAAGATCGCATTGTTTACATAAGAAGCCAATATCATAACCAAAGTACAAGCAATAAGATACCATTATTTAGTTTTCTAGGTTCAGACTCAAAACTCACACAACGATATATATATATATATATATTCAACACAGATAGGTAGCAATTTAATCACTTCCATTTCTTGAATTTCATGAACTTACCTCCATGCTTCCAACGCTTCCCAAATTTCCCATGTTTGAACCTTCCGTAACCATAGCCAAATGGGTGTGAATGAACAACATGGTGAGCACCGTAAGCGGCGGCGGCGGCAGCTGCTCCGCCAGCCAACAACCCCCCCATGCCGTGTCCGTGTCCATGGCCTGGAAACAACAAATCATCAACAAACAAATGCAAGTGCGATATCAGAAACTAGTTAGCAACAACACTTTTTTTCTTCCCATTGATTAAACTGTTATGGATTCTTATTCCAAACATCCACTCGAATCTTCGAATTATAAAATTCTATTCTCTTTAAGTTTTTTAAATATAATTTTTTAATTGGGGTTGTTCTTCATTTTAAATCTCAAAAACTCTAAGCATTAGTGGCCAAGGATAGTGTTCAAACTCATATTAAATAAAAGGAAAAATAATTTTTGAAATTATAGTTTCTGTTTAGTCTATTAAGTTTCAAAATATTTAGTTTTAAATTTAGTCCATATATCCTAAAATGTTACATTCTCTTGCCATTTAATTTTGAGTTTAATTTTATTTACATTTTAAGATCTTGAGTTTTCACTAATAATACTTATTTTTATTCATTAATTGATAAATATTAGGAGGATTTTAAAATAATTTTAATAGTGATGAAAAATTAGTGATACTTTATTAAATTAATTAATAGAAAATTAACAAAAATAATCAAACGAGTATTGATTAAAACTGTGTAAAATTTTAAAATATAAGGACAATATTGAAACTAAAATAAGAAATGTTTTAAAATTTAGGGATAAAAAGTGATTTTCGCTTTTAATCAATAAGAAGAAAATATCAAGTAACGAAGTCATCAAACCAAACACTAGAATGTGATAATACCAGGGTAGTGATGATGACCAGGATAGCCAGCGGGAGGGCATCCGCCGTGATAAGGATAGCCAGCCGGAGGATATCCGCCGGGAGGGGGATACCCAGCCGGAGGGTACCCTACCGGAGGAACATACCCAGCACCGGCGCATGGCGGTGGTGGTGGATATCCATGAGGACGAGAGTAGTGGTTCCCTGCAGCAAACGCTGCCATATGTGAAAGCAGGCCCCTGTCATTAGTGTCCTTGTCCTTCCCACCTCCCATATTTCTTTAAGATTCCGAGAGCAGTAACCAAACTATGAACAGACTAGAAACAAAATATTGTTATATCAGCAAGTAATTTTACATGATTGGGGGAAATTTTGTGTTCGTCCCTAAATGAACAGAATGAATCCAGATGAAAAACCAGAGGCTGATATGTAAGAAATTCTTGGTGTCCTCGAATCATTTATCGATTGAGGTTTAAGTTTTAGCTCATTCAATTCTTTCGAAACTAGTTAAAGATTAACTGAAATTACATATGATCAAATAAGATTAACTCGGCGAAATTTACAATTCTAGGCACATGATGCTTTGCAACAGTCTACACCACAATCAATCAAACAAAGGAATAGATTATTCAACCAATTAGTTCAAGCTATTTTCCAGTAAAATCATATTCACTCATTGATTCAACATCAAAGCATCAAAACATTAAAAGTCTGCAACGGAATGGATCAAAATCTCTAACTCTACAACTTCGAAGGCGACCTATAGTGGCGATGAACGATAAACAGCAAAATATGAATTGAAGAACACCGACAAACTCGCAGATGAAACGATCTTTAAAAACTAACCTACGTTCAATCGTTTTTCGAAAAAGCAGTTCAAAAACTTCCAGAGAAGACGAAAAAGAAAAAGAAAAGCATCCGAGTGAAATTCATGAGAACATAATCACAATAAAAATGGAGATAACTTGAACAAACGGTGAATGATGGAGATTAGAACCAGAAACCGGAATCAAAAACAGTTTACAGAGACGGACAAGTTCTCCTAGCAACAAATCCACAACACGAAGAAATGCGATCGAAACAAAACCACAAAAAATCGATGATAAATCTAAGAACAAAAAGAAAAAAGAAAAAAGAGTGAGAGGGAGAGAGATTGCTTACGATGCAAGAGAGATTTTGGTGTGCTCCGTGAAAATGGCGATTAGGAGAGACAGAGACGTACAAAACAGAGATTGATTTGAACTTTGACGCTTATTCCTCACCCTTTGTGTTTATTCCATCAAAGAGTATCGACCGCCTTGGCGTTGCTTGGACGCGTCCAATTCAGTACGTCATTTTTGCCCTCCAATTTTTGATTCCTAATTAAACAAATTACAATATCACCTAATCCCAATATTCGATATTCGATAAGGTCGATGGTTCGATACCACTAAAACATAAAAAGAAAAAAATTAAAAAATAAAATATCGACGAATTTCAAAATTACTTAAGGGATAAGTTTCAATCTTTGTGTAACTCTTCCGTGAGTCGAGAAGTTTAACTTGTTCAAAGTCGAACATTATGCATCACGTTGGAATCATGTGATCTGGCAGTCATGCATTGAGAAGTCGAAAAGCATCGTGATTTAAGTATTTTAGTATAAAGTATGTTTTATGAGTGTTGCACTCTGTTTCCGCTATTTGTTTCGGTATGTTTTGATTGAAAGTCGAGGTCAACATATTGAACTATAAAAATGTAATATTAGATAATTCCTCATTGCTTTGGGGACGAGGTCAAGAGACAAGGTTCGATCTCTGCCGGGCTATTGAACCATATAAAATTAATATCAAACAATTTCTCATTGCTTAAGGGACGAGGTCGAGAGATAAGGTTTGATCTATACTTGATTGTTGAACGGTAAAAAACTAATGTCAATTAATTCCGCGTTACATTGGGGATAAGGTCGAGAGATAAGGTTCAATATCTGCTTTACAGTTGAACCACAAAAAAAAACGTAATATCAACTAAATCCTCGCTGCTGACTATTAAACCATCAAAAAGTACAATATCGATAGATCAAACTTTGCTTAGAGGATAAGATCGATAGCTCGATCTCCGTTCTTCGTTAAACCATGAAAAAGTATGCTATCAACTTTTCAACGAATAATAATGTCTAATCTCAACTAATCTTTCTCTATATTATGTTCGATGCATTAAATAAGGAGTGGGTGAAAGATAGGCAGTTGAATAGTAATATTCATTATTCTCAAAGATGGGACGTTTAAGAATATAGTAATAATTTATTACACGATATTCTCTATGATGTGTAAATTAACCGACCAAGCAAATATAATTATTCCCGATAATTTATTTAAATATGATAATTATTGAATTAATAAGATATGCGTAAGATCTAAATTATTTAACCTTGAATATTAAGGAAATGACGTGTCTCAAATATTTGGAAAAAAAATCAGAGAAATTTATAAAAGAAAATAAAAAATCAAAATTAATGGGTTTTGGAATTTGATTTTGACCAACGCTTTCTGTTGGCGTTCAGGAAGAAACATGGAGGCAGGTGGGACCCACAGACCTTTTATTTGCCGGTAGACCCTTCGAGTTTCTTTATTCCCTTTTGTGGCACAAATTTTTTTAATATTGAATAATGTGTCATTTTTTTTTTTAACTAATTACAAAACAAATCATTTAATGATTTTCATTAATTTTAATACTCACACTTGGTTGTGTATTATAACGTATTTAATTTTTATGTTAATAATTGTACCTGAAAAATAATGCATTAGAGAATATCGGTTTCAAAATCGACCCGAAGTCTCAAGTCAACTACCACTTAGAGCACGACAGACTTTATAAACACCTGTTGAATCTCATAGAATATAAATTTCAACAAGACTCGTTAGAGTGAATCAGTGAATTGTTCTTGAGAGAAATCAAGTTAAAAGAACATGTGAAGAGAAAAAAAAAACCGTTAAGTTATGAGTATAGTCCATAAGCGTTTAAATTTTGACAGTTTATGTCAAATAGATTGCGACTCGAATCCTACAATTCCAACAAGAAATTTCAACAAGACTCATTAACGTGACTCGAACCAAATCCAAATGCATATCAATTTTCAATTACTCACCAATAGTTGCAGGAATTAGGGGCAAAGTTCATGAATAGAGAACATAAGCTCGAATTTGATTGGAAACCATAAGAAAATTTTAATTGTTATAAAAAAAAGTTTTGGAATGAACTTGACTACATACTATAATTGAATGAAATAAGGGTATTCACGAAAATGTTGACATGAGTCGATTCTAGCACATCGACGAAAAATCATAATAAAACATTTGAGATTCCAAGTAAATTGAAAACTTAAAGATCCGTACGATTAGAACGAGGTACCATACGAACAACCTACTTCCATGAACCAAAAGAAGTATTGTTGAGCAAGCACAAAGAAGCTTAGGCTTGTGAAGAAAATGGAAGGCGTCTAATTTGGTGCTTTCTTTTTTACAAAATGCCTAAACAAACATGAGCCAAACAAAACTATAAGAGTTGAGGCTGCAAGATAAAGAGCCACAAAATGGTCTGGAAGTTGATCTCTCATCTTCTGTACTGATCAGTCCTTCACAAAATGGTGAGTGAGCAATTTCGCGATCTCGAGGAAACCGACCTTTTCCCTTCCTTCGAATATGGCTTTAAGCTTATCGTCACAGAAGATCTCCCTTTTGTTAGCAGGATTCTGCAGGGGAAGACAATGAAATTCTCATCATTCCATAGCTTGGAGAACAGAAACTCCCTGATTAGCAACTAAACATGCAAGAAAGAGCTCTTTGAGGCCTAGCCCGTTTGTTTTTTCTTTTAAAACTATGGGTACTTGCGTGTAGCTGAACAA